CCCTTTCGGTCCCGATACGTTTGCACCCTTTCGGTCCCGACACGTTCGCACCCTTTCGGTCCCGACACGTTCGCACCCTTTCGGTACCGACATGTTCACACTCTTTCGGTCCCGATACATTCGCACCCTTTCGGTCCTGCCATGTTCGCACCATTTCGGTTCCAATACGTTCGCACCTCTTCGGTCACGACACGTTCGTACCTCTTGGTTCATGACACATTTGTACCTCTTGGGTCACGACACATTCATACCTCTTAGGTCACGACATGTTCGTACCTCTTGAATCACGATACATTCAAACCTCTTCGGTCACGACACATACAAATATTATCTTCTAAAAGGTCAATATTAATATTTAAACTTATGAAAATGTATGACAAATATGATTGTGGCTATTAGAATGAAATATATGTCTTTTCAATGAAGAGTTGTCAAATATTTGATGACATCATCAATCATATGAAAAAAAAATATTTTGGTCCATTAGATCTTAAAATCAAATTAATTATGACCATTGGATTGAATTTTTTTTTCCTATAAAAAAACGCTGATGTCACTTTCAGTTTGCTATTATATATAGATATCAATCGTGTCTAGCTTTGTTCTAAACTTGGTTTTTTACCATGTAATCTTAATGAAAATCAATAAAAATAAAGAGAATTGGCTGAATATACAAAACACTAATGGAAATTAAAGATATAGCTATGATTATGACATATTTCAATAGGTAACATTTAACACAGAAAAAAACCAGTTTTACCCTTTCGAAGACCAAGTTTCCGGTTACTAATATACTAGGATACGACCTGCGCGTTGCGCAGGATGAATATATGTAATTAAAATATAAAATTTTAGTATTGACAAATTCAAAATTTATATATGATTGTTTTTATATGTATTTGATATTTTAGAATTTTGAAATTTTTATATAATTAACTATACATAGGATTAGAAACAATTATAATTAGAACTATAGATCAAATCTTAGAATTTAATGGACCTGATTTCATATATCATTTCACTTTTCAATGTTCGAGTGATGGAAAATAAATGGAGTGTCATTGGACTTGATTGGTAAAGTATTAACAAGTTCCCTAATGTTTTTTTAAGAAGCAGTTGGTAAAATATTTGCATTTAAAATATATAAAGTTTAAAAACTAATTTAACGTAATTTATTTATTTGTCTAATAAGATTAGAAAATTATATGTTTTAAATAATTTTATAAAAAATTAAGTTAAATTTAAATTATTTTGAAAAACCATATTTTAAGTTTTTCAAATATAAATAAACAATTTAAAATTAATTATGGTCATGATTTAACATAACCATAATGATTTAAAAAATTTAAAAATTAACAAATTAAAAATTAACTCAGTTTTATATCATGATCTAACAATTTAAATATTATTTATGGTTATGAGAAGTTTACGTTCACGTGTAAATCCTATTCATCTTCAATTTTTTATTTTGTTGTATTTTTTTATATTTTGGTAATTACTCGATATAAATATTTATTTTGAAGTTTATTCTCATTTCGTTTGTTTTTTTTGACCTGGAGTTTAGAAAATACTTAAGATTTAAAAGAATTAAAGAGATACATACTTAGGTTAAGATCTGCACTTTATGCACAATAAGTATTTTATATTTATTATTTATTTTATATTTTTCTGCATATTATAAAATAATAAATATATATATATATATATATATATATATATATATATATATATATATATATATATTAAATAACTAAAAAATCAGTTACTATTATGTAATAAATTGGTGTATGCATATCAATTTAGCTATCACTCTTGTTTATTCGCAGTTAGGGTAATAAATCAAAATAATCAATCTTATATATTGTATATGATATATAATTAAATTTAAATTATATAAACATAGTAATATAACACACTTTTAATATGGATATTTGTTAAGTGAGGTTTCTACTCATATGATTTTCTGATTATTTGTGTAACAAAACTTTACACCAATGATTTTTTTAATGTGAGATGTTTAGTAGGTTCAATAATTTATAACCTTTTTAAATAAACAATGACATATTTCAAAATTAAATATTAACTTTTCAATATATGTTTTAGGAAAATATCAAAATATAAGTATGTATTTTTATACGATGTATAGTTTAATTAAAACGATATGAAATATTTATAAACTAAAATTATCTCTTCATATGGTATTATAATCATTATATTTTAATATAGAAAAAAAAATTAAAACCTTGATCCTAAAAGTTTATGTGAGATTTTTAACAGTTTTAGTAATTTATACTCATTTTGAAAAATTTGAAATACAACATACACAAAAAACCTAGATTTTTATTATATGATTAATATAATTGTGTAATTTATTTAATAATAAAGAAATAAACAAAATGAGAAAAAGTATACAGAATGTTATCAAATTTTTATTGTTTAAAATCATTAATTGTCATATATATATTTTAATCACATTAGGTAATTCCGTAGGTTTTATTTAAGGAAAGCATGCGAAACAATAAATATTTGATATATGCGACCAACTATATCCTACAAAATATTATATTGCTAGAGAGTATAATTTTTAGACTATATATTATATCACATGCTCTAGAATCCTTGGAATTTGAAATAGAAGCCAAAGAACCATGCCACATAGGATTGGAGTTATTTTTAATTCTTACAAACTTAAGGTTACAACTTTTTAAATACTTCTTAATTAATATATAGGGGATAGGCGAGATGACGTTGGTGGTTTATGGGACCGCAACACCATATTATAATTCCTCTTCAAAAATTCTGGTCACCTTTTTATACTATATAGGATATAATAGTATATATGTTTTATAAATTATAGTATGGAGTTACACATAAAATTATGCTGTATTTTAATTGGACAAAAAGGTTTCTGAGTGATTGCAATATAGAATAGTATGGACAATGATAGTATATACGGGTATAGCTGCATAGTCTTCAGTAGAAGATCTTTGTATAGCTGCTTAGTATTTAACAGAAGCCATGTCACATTACTACTAACCACATACGGTTTCACGAAATTCAGTAATAACCAAACCCGCACAACATAAACCAAATAATAAACCCAAACCCAATTTGTAATACTAAACCAAAAAATCCTAACCAGTTAACCCAAACATGACGGAGAACGTATGGCCACCCATCCGAAGAACTGTGGCAAATTGTGTTCCTTGCAACATTTCCAAATCAGCCTCATCTAAGGCAAGCTTGATCAGCTATATCCACCGAAGATTGAAGTAACTATTAACCATTTTCCTTCCAACTGGCTCAAACCTAGTCTGAAAAATCTGCTGGGCAGTTCCTGACCTTCCATTACAATCCTGAGAAGCCAAAATATTAAAGACGGTCAGTTCCAATCGAGTAGAACAAACCATGAACACTTATAAACATAAATAGAATCCGAGTTTGATATAGAATAGAACCCGAATTTGGTATAGAATGGAAACCAATTTTGACATAGAATAGAATATGACTGCAACATAGAATAGCCAAACGACATACATACAAGTAAACATATAGAACTGAATAACTCCTTAGCCTCTACTTACATAGAACATCACTCAAAATACTATATGTAGATGGAACAACAAATTTTATGAAATAGAGCAACACAGTAAATCATATGTATATACAGCATAACAACCTCTTAGACTCAACTCAAATAGAACATAACTCAAAATATTATATGTAGATGGGAACAACAAATTTATGAAATAAAACAAAACTCACTAAATCATATGTATATAGAACATAACTCAACAAGAAACATGCAAAGAGACCTGCAAAAGAGAGGATTTACGAAAGCTGATTTGGAATAAGAAACGCTTCACAGCAATGATAAAATCAGAGCTTACCAAAGAGTAAGGATATATGGACGATGATGAGAGTGCGAACTTGAAATCGCCGGCGTAAGAATCTGATCCAATTGTGATTATGGTTTCGGAACCGCATGATAGAGACAGAGTAAGAAGGGACGAATGTTTCTCCCGTGACAGAAACCGGAGGCTTCGCTTTGATTGCAGAGAGAATCGCTTGCAAAGAGAGTCGATTGTAGAGAGAAATCTGAGAGGACTCTGATTCTGGCTCAACTGTTCATATTCCCAATAAAGGGAGGGAGAAGAATTTACTAGAGGAAGAAGATGTGGAAGTAAAAAGGGAGACGCGTAACCTTTATAAACGTAGTAATTATTTATTTTTTTTATTTTACCACACAAGTTGGACCGGTTGCTTAAAAGGACAGAGGGGGAATTATATTGAAAATACAGACGGTGTATAGATGGAATAGGGCTTTTGGTCAGTGGGTGAATTATAAAGTGTTTGGAGGTTACTGAGTGCAATTTCTCATAGAACGGAAAAACCGACTATTGAAGAATTTTTTGTTCTAGAGATTCCCTAGTACAACACCTCAGGGCAGGATTAACGAGAGAAGAAGAGGAGTGCTTAGGACAGATCTTAGGAGAGGGGATCCACAGAAAAGAGAGAATCCGGTGTTTCTGGTGCTAAATGAAATGTCTCGTTTTATTTGATGTTTGCACTGTGCGCGGACTCCACCGACACGTAACAGCCCATAATTGATGTTTTTATAATTATTTTTTTTTAATCAGATAAAAAAAAATTCCCTTAATGGGATACTGGGACAATAATGTTCTCAGGCTATGAATGCAATAAAATTCACATTATCGCCACGAAATCTGGATCTTCAACGATAAATAGTTTAAAATGGTATTTTATGCTGACTTTTGGGCCCATAAGCAGATGCTTGAACCATTTATTCTCATATGCTACTTTAGATGTTTTTCTTATAAAGTATGCTAATTTAGATGTTTTCTGGAGTCAACCAATTTTTTTTTTTTTTTTTAACATTGGGTAATCACCAACTACATCATCATATCAACCAATCCCTATTTACTAACTGGTCTTGTGTTGGCTTTGTGTTGGACAATAAAAATAAAGAATTGCCATAGGCAGGATAATAGACTCCACACATTGTATTTTCATTATTTCACAAACTTTCTAATATCAACAATAAATGCAAACTACATACAGGATTATATAATAAATCACCCACAAAGAGACAAACAAGATTATTTATATTTTATACTTATATATGCATGATATGTCAGGAAGAGGGATAAAGTATCCATGCTCGACCAGATTTGGCTGTGAACTGCTTAAGTCTACCATAAAACATTATTATTATTAGTATGAATTTTCCACTGGAGCTCCATCTTCCTGCAAATCCATAACCCGCGTCTTCACAGCTACCATCACTGACGTTCAAGCGCCGTTCACAGCTGTACCCGGTCGTGAACCCCACATTTCCGTAGGCACTGCCATGACGATAGTTAATTTATTGTTTCACTACTAAGTAGAGTTTTCATGAAGTGAACTAACGTTGGATACTTGACGTTTACACACAAAAAAGAAAGAGAAAAATTAACTTAGGATTTTAGTAAATGAAAGTGTCTTTCATAAGGACGTTAAACTTTTCTTGTATTAACAAAAATTGATGGTTTTAATCTTGTAATCAGTCTCACAGATCAGTTTGTTGGCCATGACTATGCCTAAGTTATTTCATAGTCTAACTCATCATTTCGAAAGCTGCATAGCCATTTGTAATGAAGGTGATAAAAGCGAAATGTGAACATAAAAGTTTCAATTTGAAAACTCTGAAGAACTATTATCGGAAAAGAACTCCTAAATAACCTAAAAGTACCCAATGAGCAGTACCCAAAAGCTTCTGGTCATAGTTTATGAATTTTTAATGTAACTTATATTAGAAATATATACATGATATTAGATGAAAAACATAAAAGTACATTTTAAAATTTGTTTAGGGTATCTAATAACATTGGTGTGGCACTGTCTACTATGTAGCCGGATACAAAGTTTTCTTTCATGATAGTCTAGAAGCTCACACATAAACTCTCACTCATTGGATATTTTGGAAACTGTCTTTTGTAATACCAAGATAAATTATTCTCAAAAAAATATCAAGAGAAACGCCCACAATCGTTTAGACTTAGAGCAATACTGTTACGGATAAGTCTTTGTTAGTTGAATAAGTTCCTAAGTCTTAGGGATATTTTAGCTAGTAGTTGTTATTTGAATTGATCTTTAAGTTGTTCCGCTTTGTTCGGAACTTTAGGTTTTCACGTTTTTCACGTTTGCTTGTAATCGGCTATATATTAGCCTTAGTTTCTTTCAATAAACACTACAGCAATTCTCAGAGCTTTGATCATTTTTACAATTGGTATCAGAGCAAAAATCACAAAAAGAAAATACTATGGCTGCGGAGAAAGAGATGACATTGAGTATCCCAAAGTTCGATGGAGATTACGAACACTGGGCGATGCTGATGGAGAACCTCTTGAGATCAAAAGAATGGTGGAGTCTCATTGAAGAAGGGGTCGTAGAACCAGCAGGAGGGACAGTACTCACGGAGCAATAACAATCATAGTTAGCGAAGCTGAAGCTCAAGGATCTCAAGGTTAAAAACTATATGTTTGCAGCCATTGACAAGACGATCTTGAAGCAGATCTTGCAGAAAACCAGTTCCAAGGAGTTATGGGACTCGATGAAGGAAAAGTTTCAAGGGAATGAGCGTGTGCAGAGTGCACAACTGCAGAGGATGCGTAGAGAATTTGAGATTCTCGAAATGAAGAAAGGAGAAAGTGTAACTGAGTACTTCTCAAGAGTCATGACGGTGGCCAATGACATGAGAAACCTTGGGGAAGAGATGCCAGACTCAAAGGTGGTGGAAAAGGTGTTAGAACCTTATCAGATCGCTTCACATACATAGTGTGTGCGATCGAAGAGTCCAAAGACATACAGACTCTTTCAATTGATGAACTCCAAAGCTCATTGCTGGTACATGAGCAGAAGTTTAAGAAGAAAGAAAACGAGGAGCATGTTCTGAAGGTTACTGAAGAACATGGAGATCAACAGAGAGGAGGAAGAGGAAATCGCGGCAAAGGAGGAAACCGAGGAGCCTACAGGGGCAGAGGAAGATCGGGAAGAGGACCACCCAACAAGGCTCTACTTGACTGCTACAAGTGTCACAAGTTAGGACACTTTGCGTATGAATGTCCTAGCTGGGAGAATGGGGCTAACTATGCTGAGTTTGATGAAGCTGAAGAGATGGTGTTGATGGTGTATGCTGAGAACAAGAAGGACGAGCAAGTGTGGTTTCTTGATTCTGGATGCAGAAATCACATGAGTGGAGATAAGCAATGGTTCAGCGACCTGGATGAAGAGTACAAACATCACGTTAAGCTTGGAAATAACTCAAAGATGGATGTCATGGGGAGAGGGAATGTCCGAATGCTCATCAAAGGTGATCCACACATCATAACAAATGTGTACTACATTCCGGAGTTGAAGAATAATCTGATCAGCATTGGACAGCTAGTGGAGAAGGGAATCTCATTTGTGATACAAGATGGAGCGTGTCGACTCTATCACCCAGCCAAAGGGCTAATCATGGAAACTCACATGACTACCAACAAGATGTTTGTAGTCACGGCCAAGATGATGCCTCAAAAACCGAGATGTTTCAAAGCGGCTACAGAAGACATATCATACTTATGGCACTGTCGATATGGTCATCTGAGCTATAAGGGATTGAAAACTTTGAAGTCTAGGAACATGGGCTTACCTGAGATAAAGGCGCCAAGCAAGCTGTGTGACAACTGCATCACAGGAAAGCAACAAAGAGAAATCATTCCCAAGAAGAGTACCTGGAGAGCTTCTAAAAGGCTGCAGATGATCCACTCTGATCTTTGTGGACCAATCACTCCTGAGTCCAACAGCCAGAAGAGGTATATCATCACATTCATTGATGATTTTTCGAGAAAATGTTGGGTTGAGTTTCTCTCGGAAAAATCTGAGGCTATCGATGCATTCAAGAAGTTTAAAGCTTGTGTAGAAAAAGAAACCGGTATGCAGATTCAGTGCCTGAGGACAGACAGAGGTGGTGAGTACAACTCAAATGAGTTCAAGGAGCTATGTGACAGCAGTGGCATTCGGAGGCAGCTCACTACAGCTTATACGCCACAGCAAAAAGGTGTTGCTGAAAGGAAGAATATGACCATTCTCAACATGGTTGGAAGTGTGTTGGTTGGGAAGAAAGTCCCAAAACGGTTCTGACCAGAAGCAACAAACTGGAGTTGCACATCCTGAATATAAGCCTCACCTCTGCAATACAAGATATGACGGCGGAGGAAGCTTGGAGTGATCAATCACCCTCAGTAGAACACTTCAAGCTCTTTGGATGTATTGCTCATGCGCATATTCCTAAGGAGAAACGTAAGAAGCTTGATGATAAGAGTTTGAAGTGCGTCTTGTTTGGTACAAGTGAGAAATCCAAAGGCTACCGACTATATGATCCAGTGGAGAACAAGATCATAACCAGCAGAGACGTTCTATTTGAGGAAGATGCTGAATGGGATTGGAAAGAAGTGGAGAAGGATGGATCAAATGAGCTTGGAGTGGATGAAGAGGTCGCTGTTGAAGCAGAACCAGAAGGAGCGCCTCAACATGAAGCTAGTGATTGCAGTTGCACTAATGTTGAAGCTTCTGGAGATACTCGAGAAAGGAGATCAAAAACTACTCAAACATGGATGACAGACTATGTAACTAGGGAAGGATTATCAGAAGGAGAAGAAGAGGAGTTGGAAAATCTGGTCATGTTCACCAAGACATCTGATCATGTCTTGTTTGAAGATGCCGTAAAAGAAAAGAAGTGGAGAGAAGCGATGCAGCAGGAGATTGCCTCTATTGAAGCCAATGAAACATGGGAGCTATGTGACTTACCTCACGGCCTCAAGACCATTGGAGTCAAATGGGTCTACAAGACAAAGTTGAATGAAAATCAAGACATCGACAAATGCAAAGCCATGTTAGTTGAAAAGGGTTATGCTCAAAATATGGTATAGACTACACTGAAGTGTTTGCTCCAGTTGCAAGATCGGATACCATTAGAGATATTCTAGCTATGGCTGCTGAAAAGAGCTGGAAGATCCATCAACTTGATGTCAAGAGCGCCTTCCTGAAGGGAGAACTTGCTGAGACAGTCTACGTTGATCAGCCACAAGGGTATGAGAAGGAAGGGGAAGCATCTAAGATATACAAGCTTAAGAAAGCACTGTATGGGCTTAAACAAGCTCCTAGAGCTTGGTACAGCCGCAGTGAAGGATATTTTACAGAGAAAGGATTGGTGAAGAGTCCCTATGAGCCAACACTCTTCGGCAAAGTTGATAAAGGTAACACTCTGCTTGTGTCTCTGTATGTGGACGATATGATTGTTACAAGAAACAAAGCAAGTGTTATCAAAGAGTTCAAAGAAGCTATGAAGAGTGAATTCGAGATGACTGATTTGGGGCTGATGAGATATTTTCTTGGAGTGGAGATAATTCAAGATGACTCAAGCATCTACATGAGTCAAAGAAAATACACAAGTGAGATTTTGGAGAGGTTCAAGATGGAAGAATGCAACTCTATGAGAAATCCTATTGTTCCAGGAACAAAACTACAAAAAGAAGATGGAAGTGGAAAAGCAGATGGAGTTGTCTACAGACAAATGGTGGGCTGTCTGATGTACTTGGCTGCTTCACAGCCTGACTTGATGTATGCAATCAGCCTCATCAGTAGATACATGGAGAATCCATCTCAAACTCACATGGGAGCTGTAAAAAGAATTCTCAGGTATGTTAAGGGTACTATCAATCTCGGTGTTCACTATAAGAAGAATGGAGGCAACGTTCTTGAAGCTTATTCAGACAATGATTACGCGGGGGACTTAGAAAACAGAAGAAGCACTTCAGGTTATGTATGCTTTCTAAGTGGTGCTGCCATCTCATGGTCCTCTAAGAGACAACCAGCGGTCACTCTATCCACAACAGAAGCTGCGTTTGTGACAGCTGCAAGTTGTGCTTGTCAAGTGGCTTGGTTGAGGAGGATCTTGGAAAGCATTGGAATCACACAAAGGGAAGGGGAAAGCACAGTGATTTACTGCGACAACATGTCTACCATCAAGTTGTCAAAGAATCTGGTTATGCACAAGAGAAGTAAGCACAATGATGTGAGGTTTCATTTTCTTAGGGACTTGACCAATGATGGAGTTGTGGAGCTAGTTCATTGCAGCACTCATGCGCAGTTTGCAGACATTTTGACAAAGCCTTTGAAGATGGACACTTACAAGAAGATGTGAGACATGCTGGGAGTTTGTGATGTTCCTGGAGTAAACTAAAACTAGATGTTTCAGTTTAGGAGAGGCTGTGTTACGGATAAGTCTTTATTAGTTGAATAAGTTCCTAAGTCATAGGGATATTTTAGCTAGTAGTTGTTATTTGAATTGATCTTTAAGTTGTTCCGCTTTGTCAGGAATTTTAGGTTTTCACGTTTTTCACGTTTGCTTGTAATCGGCTATATATCAGCCTTAGTTTCTTTCAATAAACACTGCAGCAATTCTCAGAGCTTTGATCACTTTTACAAATACAACCTCTTGTTCAATTTCCTTGTTCAAGTTGGTTTTCATTTTTATGGGCAGTATTGATCTTAATTATTGTTGTTGGGCCTTTTGTAACAAATATGGTGGGCTATTCATGCTATCTTTTTAATTGAAAAACTAGATTTTGACCCGCACTTTAAAAGTGCGGGCTATTTTTCATTGTAAAAAATCTAATTAAAACACACTAAACATATTGTTATGGATGTTAAAATAAGAAATTTGTTCTATTTAAACTCATACTGTTAGTTATAACTCCTTTAAATTGAGGCACTTGGTTTAACTCAATTAGACCAAGTTAGTTATAAATTCTTCTGAATCACTGAATATGTGTTATTTTCTATTTTAAGTATAATTACATATATTACTTTATAATTTATAAAATAATTTATATATTGGTTATTTATATATATATATATATATATATTTATTTATTTATTTATTGATTGATATAATTATGAGTTATTTTTATATGTTTTGAGAAAATGTGAGTATTAGAATAAACGCGAAAGGTTTGAATATAGTTAGATAATTAATTTTTAAAAACATGTTAGCCACTGTAAAACCAAACATGCAACCTGGTTTTGATAAAATTTGGTATGAATATATAACTATATCTTCAAAACGTTAATATGAATTTACTAAAAGTAAATATATATTTTTAATAACGAATATTGGGAAGTATAATTAAATAGTAAATAAAATCTTGAGAGAATATAGGATATATATAGATTGTATAAGATATTAAATGCTGCAATACGATTGGTTTATATTTCTGATAAAAATAATTAATTGATTTATACATAAATGTAAGGGGTGGCATGATTTGTAAATAATTTTAAAACTAATGGCAGAATCCTGATAGGGATTCTGCTTTAATAGTATAGATTAAATTCATCCAAAGAAAACTTATGATTTATAGGTGGGGATACGTGCATGATGCATCTATACAGAAATACGAAGAGAACCGAATATAACATAGAGATATGAAAAAAATACCTGACAACTTCAAGAGTGATGTTAAGAACGTTGAAGTTGAGTGGATCTTGTCTTAGTTTTTGCCTTTCGGTGATAGAAATGAGAACGATGCATATCACCAAAAAGGAAAGTTGTGACACGAAGAGCCCACTCTTCTTTCCTTCCTTTACATATCCAGAATCATTTTCTTCACTCTTATTTTTTACGGTGAACGGCATAAATAACGTGTATGGGGGAAGGTACCTTATCAACGCAAGAATTTTATTTAGAACATCAAATAACGTGTATTGGGTTACAATTAGATGCTTTGTGAATATGATGTCTCCACTGCCTTGAAGAGACATCTTTTACTAGAGATATTCTGATTCACTCCAACAAATGTTGTCTACCACATTCTCTTGTAAGTTCCGTTTGGTAATGATATTCCAATTACGTCTTATTGTAAAGGACTTCAAAACTTCACATGATCAAGACTTGTTTCAGTGGACTAATAATGTTTTGATTTTTACAAAAAAAAAAACTAATAATGTGTTGACTGACTTGTTTATTTTTTCAATTTGACTGAACCTCTTTTCTAAAGTTTTCCAGCGTATAAGTTTGTGAAAAACCTGACCAACTACCTAACATAATTATTTTTTGTAGTGAAGAAAATTAAAACTCCACAAAAAGAGTCAACTGTTAAGTTATTAGTATTATATAGGCCAACACGATTCTCCAAGAATTATAACGTAGCTATAGGTGTTTAAACTTTAAATGTACATATTACCAACTACATTTTGATGTTTTTGTAGTGAAATGTCGACCAACTTTCATGTGGTGACTTTTCATTATCTGCGCGTTATATTATATACGCATTAAACAAATACCTCTGTTATCTGAACACAGCACTATCTCAATTGTTTTAGTTGAGAGAAAAGATCGTTAAGATAAACGGACGGTGACACAACTTCCACATGTGTTAAACAGGTCGACCTCATGCACCTTTCGACCGGACTAGGCCGTCAATGATTAAGCTTAGATCTAAATATTGCGAGTCCATGCAAATGCATCGATATATATGAGGAGAGAATAAGTTACTTACATCATGAGGATGAATAGTATCAATATAGCTGGGGAAAGTGTGGAGAGGTCGACAATTGTTTCTCCAGTGTGTCTCGAGTTTATCACTTGAAACAACGATCCAACCAACTTCTCATACCAATTCATTCCGGCAAGAGACTCCGAGCTCCAAGCGAAGGTGCAGAAGAAAAGAAGTTGTATCAAAACAAACCCTAACACCGTCAATCCAAGAAAAACACAAAGACGAGGGGATAGTAGATGAGAATATCCCATCTTCTTGTGGTTCTTGAGAATATAACCAAACTCCTCACGTTTTGTGGTCTTATCTAATCCCCATATTAGCAACACCAAGAAGCAAGGGAATAAAGTGTTTCCCATCAACACTTGAGGGATAAGGAACCAGAGAAGACCCGAGTTCTTTCGAAATATGACCATGTTCTCATTTGTGGGAACATATCCGCAGTTTACGAACGTGGAGACAGTTGTGAAAATGGAGAAGGTGAGAGGTGAGATATCTTTGGAACTAAGAACATCTCTTGCCGTTATAACAAAGTTTACGTACACGAGAAGCAACACCGAGCCAACTAAGTTTGTTACAAGATGGTAACCAAGAACCACCCAGTACAAGCACTTAGATACCCTTTCTTTAATCTGGCTAGGTATTTCGTGACGATCGGTAACATTCTCTACGTCAAGACGATGATTCTCGATCTTAGGGGCCGCCTTGAAATAGCCCAAAATATGTCTGATTTTGCTATGAGGAAAGACAAATTTATTAAAATGGGACAAGTAGAGGTTGAAAAAGGAAGTGAAGATCTCGCCGCCCAGAAACATGAGTATAGTGAGAATGATAAGTTGGATGTTGGAGAAGACTTCCATGTCGACGGTGGACATGGAAGAGACGGTGATGGCAGAGACAGAAGTGAAGAAGAGGTCCAAGTCATGAGGACGTGAAGTGGTTCTTGGCTTAGAGACCTTGAGTGCGAAGAACCCGAAAAAGGAGAAGGACAAAAAGTAGATGAAATATAGAAAGAAGGGGGAGCGAGATTTAGCAAGTTGCGACCGGATTATAAACTTTTCTCCTGGAACTCTATCCATTTTATTTCGTAAGTCGGTCTATGCATTATTATTGGGCAAAGATGTGTTTATATATTACACATGCATGAGCATTCTCAGCCCCACATGCATGTATGGATGCAAAAAAGATAATGGTGAATTTACCAACTGACAAATTTTCAATAACCATGAAAATATATAACCCCTAACAAAATGAAGTTAATAGACAAAGCATATTTTCCATATTTTTACCCTTCCAACTGTAAACAGAGATTGTTATACCATTTGTCTATTATTGTGGCTTCTTTATATGATATAGATGCATAATATTATATAGGAGCTGGATCGTTGGTAACTTGGTAGAATGGTGACATCACTCAAATGTTTAACTCTAAGGAGTGAATTACTCTCTCAAATAAGAGGTTCAATTGTAGTACTTAGAGATCGAATTCACGGGGAGCTAAGGAACCTAGTAGATCTAATATTTATATGATTAAGCTAGGCTAATAGGTAATAAAGCAGTAAATAAATAAAGTAATAAAAAAGTTGAACAAGATTAATTGTTCAGCTTGGCAAGGAATTGTTTATGGAAGGATAGTAGCTAGATCTAGGGTTTCTATTCAGGTAATCAGGATTATAATGTTATAGATGCTTAACAAGTTGCATGCATGATATATAAGAACTTCAATTCTTAGACAAATCTATAGTTATCGCTAGTTAGACTCGTCCATTGATCTGAATGCCGACAGTATCGACCGATGTTGCTATCACAGTGTCGGTCGATATGTGTTGCCGTCGATCGATGACTCTATAGGAGTATCGATCGATATAGCATTAGATCGAATCGAAACTGTGTTCACCCGAGATCATTAGGCCGGCTATCGCTGGTGCCTAAGATCTGAGTTTGTGCAGGATGATATCAGGATGAAGATTAATAAATTAAACTATTCCAATTCATGGTTCTAGTTCATGCCTCTAGAAACAAGCATTAAAAACATCCTAACAACGAATATCACAACTTAGCAATCTATAGTTGGGGCTAATCCCACAACCTATCTGAACCTAAATCCAACAGGTGGATCTATTCAGATATGAAATTTTGCATAGAAATCCTAGATGAATAGATATAAAAATGAAATAGAATAGATATAAAACCATTGGAGTTCCAGGAGGACTCTGATATGAGTTCCTCCCTTCTCTCCTAACTAAGAGAAACAATAGAAAAGAACTTAGAAAAGCTTTTATAGCATGTAGCCGTCAACAATGGCTTATAAATATCATAACTAGGGTTTCTGGTCGTCAAGGGTATTTTGGTAACTTGTGGGCTTCAGTCGGTTATGAAATATAGTCATCCCACGTTTTGGCATTCATATCGACCGATATGAAGTGTCTCCCATCGATCGACATGCATATATCTTGCTAAAAACTAAACTTATAGCTTGATAAATTAATATTATAAATAATTTTATTAAAAAATATTTTTTTAAACAATTTCTTTTTTTTAAAACAATATAATTTTAAAAAATTACATCGAAATAAATTTATCTAGTATATATAGCGTGTAAATTTTGTTAGGGTATATAAATATTCCATATTACGAATCTGTTATTTTTGTTAATATATTGATGCATTTAACTATTATTGACATATTTCTTTATAAATAATAAAAGATTCCTAAACTTATATCTATTGACATATTTTGTGTGACTAAATTGGAAGGTGTGGGGTAATTTACCAAAACCAAATTGTTAAGCGCATCTTTGTTATTATAGATATGATTTTTCATAAAATATAATAATTATAAGATTATTAGAGAGTTAATGTAACATGATGTTCTAGTAATAGTCCATTTTTTAAAAAAAATCACACATGAAATCAAGTCATGACTTCTATTTTAATATATAAGATACTTTTGATAAAACCTTTTTATGTCTACCATAAGGAATTTCTCTATAGTTAAATATTAATAATAGGAAACATTGTTTTTACATATGCCTAATTTTAAATTTTTTTCACATATATTTTCTTTCTCCAAAATATGTAAATTGCTCTTAACAAAGAAAGATGTTCTACTCTGTATTAATTTTATAGAAGAATCCATATTTATAGAAAATACAATATGAATGATAAATCTTTTTTTTTTTTTTGTGAAAACGAAGATTTGTGAAATTTAAAATTAATGCTTAGTTATTACAAAAGTTTTTATACAATCTAAATGAAGATACATTTTTTTTACGTCTTTTATGTATATAAATCAAAATCACCTTTCACTTTTAACCCCCAAAAATTAACTTTTATTTTGTTAATAGAGTGGAAAATGTTGTATGGTAGGAATAGGAAGGGGACCACTGATAAAATCTAGGAGGTGATATGATATGCTACTTAAATCGTGATGTATCAAATCACTTTGCTAGGTGGCCACCACTAAAAGGTTACCCCACATAAGCTATCCATGCTTATTGGTTGGAATAAAATTCGGTCGGTCTTGCTGTAGATGTTGACAAAGCAGGACGAACATGATATTTTCCCAAATTTCATTCTGCTCAAATGCGTTTTGCACTAGAAAATCGTTTCCTTTATATTGGGGGTGATTGGTTGGGTTGTAAGTGGTCACTTTAGCTTTAATTTTTATTTATAGCACTTAAATCACCAATAATGTTTTATCTTATTTTTTAAAGCTACAGCCAAAAACTAAAAAAGTGGTTGTAAAATCCTAATTTTCTAAAGCCACATCTTTTTTGCTGTAGAAAATATATTGCTGTATCAATAAATTTTAAAGGTACATCTTTTACAGCTAAACCAAAAAATTCTACAGACTAATTTCTACAGTAAAAAATTTACAGCTACAATTCAACCAATCATCCTCATTATATAAAATGTTATCATCTGCTAGGTGTAAATGAGTTAATTATATTCGAAAAGTGAAGAGATAATTCTGGCGAATGGTGATTAAGCTTTAGAATCCATGAAAGGTAACAAACAAAATAAAAGTTGTGGAAGCCTCTTAGTCGAGGGATTTGTCCCGGAATTTGCAAATGCTTCTACACTAGTTTGGCGCCAAGAATATTGTCAAGAATCGATTTCATAATATTACTTAGAATCATACAATTAGATATGAATTCACATTAGGAAGCTAGAGTTGCCAATTGTATTATTATTGTCTATATAGTATTTATCATATGGTCAAACACAAAAAGTAATGTTTTCCAATTTATTATTCATACTACTCATCCTATAAGTTCTCATTATTAACGAAAATGTCGTTATTATTATTTTTTTTTTTGTGGAATTGCTTGTTTTACCTATTATCATATATTCTCATCTTCATCACTCATTACCAAATTGACATTGTCCTTAATACACCAACAACTTTCTCATTTCATCCCAAAATTCCAACTTTTCAAGTTCAAAATTTATAAACTTATTAGATTTCCTCAAGTTCAGAATTATTGATCAAGAATGAGTGGGTAACTCTCGTTAATAAGTTATGTGTGCTTGTAAAAGCTAGACATTAAACTCATATGATCAAAGAATGATTTTTGATTCTTTTTCCAGACCGGTTTCGCGAAGAAGAGTTCTCTAAAAGTTTTCTAACTTTTTTTGTAACAAAAATTATTGAGTAGACCTCCCTAGAAGGTTCTTTGATAAACATATTAGTTATGCAATTAACTTAAGTTTTTCAGAAATTTAACTGTTTCAATGAAGACTTCTAGAAACAATTTCCACTATAAGACTTGTTGAGAAGTCATATTACACTCACATGAAGTCTCGAAATCTGAAAAAAAATCCGTGTAGATTTCTTTTGCAATTGACTATAAATAATAAAAGATATAATATTAAAATTAAATAACTAAAAGATTTTCTTTTCTTTTTTGTTCAACACTAAAATTTTTTTTCGAAGTATTTTTATATTTTACTCTGAGATTTTCTTAGAAGTATTTTTATATTTTATTCTGAGATTCTGGTCAAACTTTTGTTTTTGAAAGTAAGATCATATAGAAGTCTTTTCATAGAAGATTTCTCTTATAGAAGTCAAACATTCCCAATTGCAAAAATAACTTACGCAAATTTCTTGGGACACTTCATACACTTCACATTTCTCTAAAAAAATTTATTGGAAACTTTTTGAGAAATCTTCTATGAAAAGTTAAATTTCAGCAAAATTTCTGTCTACTGTAAAATTAATTTGATTCTAAGAGAAGATTTCTGTAACAGTTTTCTCTGGCAAAATTGAAAACTTTCCCAATAAAAAAATAACCCAATAATTTAAAAATGAAACTTTTTAAGAACTAGGCTAATTGAACAGACTTCTTGTGAGGTCTCCGTTAAATTTTGTAAATTTTTCTTTTTCTCCAAATTTAATATGAATTTTTAAGATTTTCTTGTTAATTCATGTGGATTTTTATCAATATTGGAGCTCCTAAATAAAATTTATAACTTATTTTTTTATAATTATAATGTTAGCAATATTCATATTTATTTAGGTTTTTAGTTAATTATAGAAGACTTCTTGAGAAGTCCTACTGGGAAGACTTCTCTTTTTTCCTAGTAAACTAGGAGTTTTCCTGGGCCATATACAGAAATAATATTTTTATTAATATTATTTAATAGTTTAAAATAATAATTTACCTTTTAATATTATTATTTATATTTTAACTTCACAATTTTGTTTAAAAAATCTTATGTCTTTTATCCCTAATTTTAAGTGTGTCTAGACTTAAATATATAAATTCTAATAAGTTTAGATCTTTTTGTTTCAGTTTACATACGTTAAAATGGTAAAAAGAACAAATTTAATATACTTAATGAACCAGTTAATACTACTAATTTTTAAACATTAATTATCAATTTTTTTAATTTTTTTTTATGAGTATTTCTTTAGTTTTTTTATTTTAAAGCACGTTTACAATTAAATTTTATAAAAATAGGACATATATAGTTAATGCGAATTTTGTATGTGTACTTATATTTAGTTTATTTTTTATTAATTAATTATATATATATATTATAATGGTGATATATAATTTATTAGTTATTGATATATTTCAAAAGTCTTACCAAAATAAATATTTATACATGAAATTTA